ATCGCACCTCGTATGTATATCTTATGGTGACTTTCCTTAGGTTTCAAGGCAGTTGAAGGAAAGTAGTGATCAAGGTCATACAGTCAGAAGATACGATAACGCGTCAACTGACTCAGGATTAAGGATCAGTGACGAACTTTTGGTTCTATAAAAGTCGGGAAATTTCTTGACAGAATGAAAGACTATCAGCTTTTGAAGAAGGTGTTAATTAGTTCGCCGGAATGACAGAACAAAAACTTGAAAATTTAAAGGTTATGTAAGAACAGGAATTAGACAAATCTTTATCGACCAAGAAGTCGATAGTGTTGGAAGGTCACATGGTCTTATATTTAATTTAAACCCTGGCTCGTATTCAACGTTTCAGACCAAGAATTGAATTTTACGTCAAGGTTATTCTACCTAAACAAATTTACTTTCAAACTGGTGTGATGGCTGTAACAATAAATCACTCCGAGAAGGTAACATACACATCTCTCCTTTCTTTGTTTATCTCTGACGTCCGTGTAAAAGCCGCTTCTGTGGGACTTCCATCCTTTGCTTCAATATCTACAGACTAAATCATAACTTCTTCTCAATACGTTCGTTGTACGAATCGCCAGATTAATACAGCCTCCTAACACTAAAGGAGAAGCTTATCTGAATAACATTTAAGAGTTTAGTCCGTACCACAAAGAAAACAGAACAGCGTTTTGATCACGAAGATTAGCTGCTTAATGCTGATGAAGGAAACCTTCCTTGTTTACGCTGAGTATCATATACTGCCCATGAGTTACTGATTATCTGAGCAGTTGGTTTAAATGTCACTGGTCCGTTAAGGAAGCCAGCAATTAATTTCAGTTATGCCGTGGGCAACCAGGACGGTTTATCCTGCAAATTTAAGGTAACTTTGTCAAAATTTGGTCGTCGAATTAAGTAAATGTAGTTTAAGTTACACCTCCATCAACTGAATTTCGAAGAGGCTGGTTTTCCTACGAGGTCAAAGTGTAGTGGCATATTCTGAATACTGGAGACGCATAATTTGTACTTTTCAACGTATTAGGGTTTTGCTAGAATAATGAAGTCTAGGAGATAGGGTATATGGCTAAGATAGAGACAAAGAATACATACACAATTTTTGCGAGGAAACCTATGCGAAAATGGCCGAGGAGAAGTTCGAAGGACAACGATAAGATTGATCTCATTTGGAAAGGTTGTGAGGATGGTATGTGGATGGAACTGGTTTAGGATTGTGCCCATTGGTGGAATACGGTATCAGCGATGCTACAATTTCGGGCTTTTCAACCACAGTGATAAATTTCATTTTAATTTTATGATATGCTTACCATAATACTTTTCTCATTCCGTGAATTAAAGCCGTCTGAAATATCACGTCGTTTGATGTCAGTGGTACAGGTTAGTCCCTGTACTGGGTTGATGTGTCCCAAAAACTGTAAGTGTTGGAAAGACTTAGTTGAAATCTCCGACGAAAATGTGAGACCATCTGAATTAGGAAACGAAGATAAGTGTAGAAATATCAATATGTTTCTGTGATGTAATGTGTAAGCGGTTCTGACTCCCACATTGTTCAAATTAAGTCCTTTTTGCACTCCATGAGAAACTGATGACCATTCAGTCATTCAAGAAATTTTTCAGTTTCCATGGAACTGGAAGGTTTGTTGCTACAAGCCTGCCAGTGGGCCCTATCCTGAATTCTTAAACTCCATTCCGCGTTCTCAGATTCTGTTTCAGTAGCACCAATTTCAGTATTATCTGCCATTTTGTTCTTACAAAACGTAAGTGTAAGTCATATATACGTACCCACGAATTTAAGTATATCTCGTATGACGCGTATAACCATTTGTCATATTACAGATGAAATTCGTCTGCAGTGTTTGCCAATAGCACGACGTTGCACAGGGGTTTCATACACCTAAGATATGATAGGGCATCAGAAAGTGATGATTTGAAAGTAAAAACCGAAATTCTCGAAGAAAACCTTGTCTAACGCCTTTGGCCATCATGAATCCCATAAGCCACTGCGGTTCAGAAACGGTGCACATGTTGGGTGTGAGTTGGGCGTTTAACTACCTGAGCTATTTATAAAAGTCTCAAAACATTTATATTGTTCCCGGACCAATAGTTCCTTATATAAAACCAATCTTTATCGAAACTGATGTTTGGTACCGGGTTTCTTTCTACAGTTCTTGAGAATTCTTGTAGAATGCATTGAAGTCACGACCGTTTCTTAATTATTCCTTTGCATTTCATTATTTATGGCGAGGCTTTTACATCATTCGGCGGTAAATAATATCTGTAATGCCTATTGCATTATTAAAAAAATCTTCCCAAGTTTTAATTTATAAGCGAAGTGAAATAAGTTTGTTTTCAAGTTTTCGCGGCGCCGAAGACGAAGATGGCTGTCTTAAGGGATGTTGCGCCGTGTAGTCTGATAGAAGTTTACCGACGTTTCAGAGGTACTTGCGTCTTCCATTAACCTGATGATGGAGGCAGCAAACACATCTGAAACGTCGGTAAACTGCTGCCAGGCAACCGGTGCAACGACCCAGAAGGCGACCATCTTCAAAGTGAAATTTAAGCGTCGTACTGTCTCTTACATATCAGGAATATTTAAAATATAATGGTATCGTTCTTTTCCAAGGTCTACAATGCTTTCATGACGTGATACTGGGACATAGGAGCTCGGTTAATGTTTTGTCCGCTCTCGATTAGCTATTCGTGAACTGTAACTCCGAAGAATCCATGGGGTAACTAGCCTGAAAGTGGCTCCATCGTGGTGTGCCGTGAAGTGTTTTAACTTAGGGACATGTCTGGCCCGGGAAGAAGTGATGGACGCATTCGACTTGGTCTGTCTGATAGTAATTGGTTTCATCTTTCGTACTGTGAAATACGGTTCATCGCGTAGTCACAGCTTACATTCGAAATATTTGGGTTTGCTCCAACATTCCACTCCCTTCCACTGGATGGCACTGCTTGCCGGCAGCAGATATAGGTTATCTATGCACACGGCACTACCGTCAGCTATCCTGTCAAAAAAACATCTGCTCTCTGTGGGGTTACACAGGACGAGACCAGAGCAACGAGGTCAAACCATTTTGTTTATAAAAGGACGGACAGTCTGGTGACCTTGGGTTATTGCCGTTTTTGTCAAGCTAGAATACCGGAAGAAACAGCGCAAGGGGAATTGTGTTATGGAGTTCTTTTTAAGTTAGTTAAATCTAATCGAATGGCCAACTATGACTACAAGCAATGAACTGAACGAAAACTGTTCGATATCGGTCTTCTGGGCTGTATTGCCGTGTGGATTTGTAGGGAGATACCAACGTTTCAGAGTAACATACTGCACGCACGTCCGAGGCTCAAGTGTTGATGCATGATTTTACCTGCACATCAATAAGTTTCCACTTCTCACCGAAGCGCCATTGTAGCCGTGAACATTTTAAATTTCATTCTTAAGCCGTGTCTTTTAAGGCATTCTAATGACGTCACCGTTAAGCCGTGACCCATAACACTCGTTAGAGGCTGAAGGTTATGGAAGTCCTACCCAATTTTGTGAATGCAATTACCGATTCACAGCTTTCTACAGTCCACGACTGTAATCTTCAGACTTGCGGAAAGAGGAATTGGGGTGAAGGAGGAAGGATGAAAGGTAGCGTCTGTCTTTAACTCTACGGACTTCCTGCATTCCTTGCAAGTCTCAAGATTACAGTCGTTGACTGTAGGTAGGTTCAAATTGATACCGTCAGACGACGTCTAACATGGACGACACATTGGGATCACAGATAATACACTCAGGAACGACTGTTAAGATAGGGTGAGGTTAACCTCCTTCTCCTACAACCACTGACCAGATGTTTCTTCACTTCATTGTCAAAATAAGTCTGTTGTCTTTGTATTTTATCTAGAGAAACTAAACCGAACGTCGTAGTCAAGTGGTCAACATTCCTATTCCATATTCGGGAGGTGCCGGGTTGAAATGTCGGCCCGGATTCTGGCTATCCTGACTGGGGTTTTTCGTGGTTTTCCTCAGTTCCTTCAAGCCGTTTTTTACCATAAATAAGGCCACGACCGCTTCTTTTCACATCCTTTCCAATTCATTATTCACTATCATCCTGTCATTTGACGCAAAATAATCAACTGAAAAAGCGCCATTAAATACACTATAAATAAACCACTCAGAAGGTACCTTAAAAGTATCGTCTTTGGTAGTAGCATGGGTGGAAAATGGCTGTGGTGTAAATGTTTTAATAAATAAGCAGGATTTAAGGCTCTCACGGCGGTGAGTACAAAGATGAATCAACTGGGTTGTAGTACTGTGATGATGGAGGCAGCAGGGGCCTCTGAAACGTTGGTAAACTTCTGTAAGACTACACAGCCCTTCAACCCAGATGACTGCCATCTTGGTTTATAGTGTTTCGGTGGATAGTGTGAATCTATTAGGAAAGAAAATGAAGTATTGGTGTTGAAAAGATTAAATATTAAATGGCAATATTGTGGCAGTTGATTATTATTACCTAACCAGCAACTGAATTGTAGATTTGATAAAATATTTTATGAAGTGCACACAATTCTATTAAATAATTTTGTGTGCTGAGAAATAGCAATCTGAAGACAGTTCAAACATTTGAGACAATATTGGAAAGGAGACAAAGACTTATATTATCTAATTCAAGTACTTCCTGCTACCACCTGGCAACATTTAAGGGAATGTCATCATTATTTCTTTCCAAACTTACTGTTTATACCAAAGGAAGGTCTACGGGAAGAAAAGCATTATGTACGCTTTTTTAATTTGTGTTGTCATGGTCAGTTATGATGTCATGTGGTCTTGTAGGTGATGATTAATGTTTTTGAGGAAGCTTTCAGCTCCATTGCCTACCTTGAAATTGGAGAAGACAGATTCCTCCAGAATGTAGGTAACCACTTACAAGACTACATAGCAACATAATCACTAACTATAGTCCTGCATACAGTACTGACTTGTGTCACTGTTGTGCTTCTAGGGGTGGCAGCACATGGAAGCCGCAAGTGACGCCTGTAGGTCCAGCACCAGTTAATTTCACCCCTGCTTCAAATATTCAGCCTGTTACCAAAACATCACTAGCTGCCAAGAAGCAGGATGGGCCGCATATTGGCGGTGGACACAACTTTGCACCTAAACCGTATGGAGGACCACAAGTGAGTTATGTAATGGGTTGATGTATAACCCACTGCAGTAATACTTACCCCACAACTTCATAGAAATATTTCAGTCTGTGTTAAGTATAATTACCTTGTGACAGGAAATAACTGAACCGTATAAATTTGAAGGGGTCAAGTGTCCAGGGACCATAGTTTTAGGTTAGATGCACTTGCTGGCTCTTGTATCACGGAAAATTATGTTGGGCGGTGTATGACACTGAAAACATTCTATTCTCTGAAGCAGTTGATGGATGACATTGGGTCTATTATTTTTTTTATTTAATATGAAATTTTCTTTAACTTCCCATATTTCATAGTTTTGGCATAAAGGCAGGTTCCTATGTTTTTGTCTCAACATTTTGTAATAACAAACATAGGTTGGGGGTGTTTCAGAATAGGGTGCCTAGGAGAACGTTTGGACTTAAGAGGGGTGAAGTACAAACTGGAGAAAATTTCGTAATTTCTACCCTTCATAAAATATTAGTACGACTAGCCTAGCGTGCGACCTGTCAAAGTTAAGAGGAATGAACCTTTCTAAATTGAACAGTAATACAGTTTTTTGTCTTTACAAACTGCATTGAAAGTGCACAATTTATAAAATTTATTTTTTAAAATAAATTAAATATAAAAACATCTTCACATTGACTGAAGCCAGATTTCTGCCAATTACATTAATATAAAATTGACCAGCTGATGACAAATATCAAATTCCTGCCAGATGCAGTCTCCACCAGACATCACCATAGGCACTGCCACAGCTTTGTTTGCATTTTGTGCTACCAGAGTCACCACTGTCAGAACTTAATTCCAATTTTTTTCTGTAATACATGATTATTGCCTTCATCCATTGTACGAGGAGTAGATGATTAGCTCAGATAGAATCAGAAGACAGGACAAATATTATGTATGGAGATAGGAAATGTACAGGCCTACAAACTTCTAGTCTGAAAACTTGGTTTGAAGAGACGTTTTAGGAAGTCATAAAGAAACAGGTTTTTAGGATGTGCACTGAACTCACCTCGCTTATTTATGACGACCTGAATCCATGTCATCAATGGTCATATTGCACATGTAAGTATAATAATGAAGTTTATCTTAGGGAACAACATTTTGTTGGACTGAAATGGTGTAGGATAAATTCAGTTTATGATGGGTGGTAAGCCGTTGTGTTAAATTATATTGGGACTCGTGTTGCCAAGTTGGTCAGCATGGTCATTTGGCACATCACCACTGAATTTTTACTGCACAAAACAATTATCTGTAACTTCCTAGGAGAGGTCCAGTGCCAACTTGTGTTGCAATCTTGTGTGTCTTTGTAGACTGTCAGATGTCCTCTGTCAGATGATGTACTCGCACTTCAACACATTAGAACACTTCAGATATCAGCTCAGATTACTTGGCATCAACCTGTTGTAAATTAGTTGTTACTTCCATTTTGTTCCAATCGAAAGGTTAATTTTGTCTGACGAATCACAACACTGCAGTTCATCTCGTGGCTGTCACTGCCATTTCCTTTACATATCTGCTCCAGCTTGGCTGTCTTCACATTTGTCTTGAAGATGGAGACAGTAAGTTTTTTGGCATATTATTATGGACACATGGTAACATATTTATTTACTTATTTGCCTCCAGCAGGCAGTAGCTCTTTAGTTACAGGAAGTTTACACAGTGAAACACAAAACATGCATACTCTTCAAAAGAAAAAGAAAAAAGAAGAATTTCATCTCAATACAAGACATATAAAACAGTGTAAGAATGCTATTTCTGTATATTAAGTAATAACAACATATGAACTATGCAAGCTGTTTAGTTATTACAAAAAGAATGGTATCTAACTTTGTCATAAACATCAATTATTCAACACTTACCTTAGTTTTGAAACCACACTGTCTACAGATTTATTTTGTATTATCATTTTGTTTTGCTTTCTGACTTGACTCTTTGCCAGAAATAAAGTTATCTCTATTCTTGAGAAATGTTTCACCAACGATTACCTGCAAGTGATTATCTTTGGTTTTTCTTTTTTAATTTATTATTTAGTATTACTCAGGTCTTGTCTTAATTTATTACCTTTACATGAAAGATTCAGGACTTTTTAAGTGTTTGAGAACATTCAAGAAGTCCCTAGGTTCTAACAGTTTTAAAATATATAAGAATTCTGAGAGTATAACACGTTCAAGCATTTCATGTTTTTCTATGTCAGTCTGACATCGTAACTTTCAGATTATGTATGAATTTAGGTTGTGTGTTCAGTTCATGGTGTGTGTTAACAGTTTCGTTGACTGGGAATGAGATTTAAACTTCCTAGGGTTCACTGTGAATTGGTACCATTGGACACTAGACATAGTGTATAAAAGTGCTAAAACAATGTTCCAATATATTGCACAATAGGTGAAAAGTTGTTGTCTTTTGAAATGATCATGTGTGTTTTCCAGCAAAGAACTTCATTTTGTTTTTCAAGTTTTGTTCAACTTCTGCTGTTTAACAACAATTAACAATTTTTCCTTTAAAAATGTCTTTTAAAAGAATTGAGCCTTCTGGTCTAGATTTCTGTGGTGTTTGGGAGTATCAGTGAGTGAAATGTATTGCACCATCTATCAATAGTTAAAGATATTTATTTTTAACTTTGAAATCACAGAAAGTATGCGATGCAATGTAAATTGACTAACAGAACGTTTAAATAAATTAATACTAGCATGGAAATAGTTGAGGGTTGGAATCATTTACATTGAGTTTGAAAACTTTGTAGTGACTTATTACAATGTACATTCAGTGTAAATATGAGCTGTGCATTCTTATGAATGGATAAAAAGTTACTGGATTTCTTTCAAAATGAAAATTTTTCTTCCATTACAATGTGGTACATTATTATACGCCACAGATGTCATTCATGGTATAGAACTACCATGAACATGTTTAAAATCTCATTGATTAGGATATTATGTATAGTGTTCTGTGTTTGTGTTACATGTCTGTATTTTTAAATGTCTGGATTATTTTAAAGTCTGAGGTAATATTATGACAAATACCAGTAGACAAATGGTTTTCCAGAACATATTGTCCACATATATATATAGCTGTAAATTCATAAAACTGATGCCCCTTACAGTGCTTTTCGGATTGTGTGGTGTTGTCATTTTGAAGTGGTTCATCGTGAGAATTTAATAGAGAAGTTTGTTTTGAATGACCTCACTTTCAAGCATAGGTTGTAGGATCTTGCTGCTATATTAGAAAACACAACAGTGAGATTCTAAAACCTAGACTTCAGTTACATGAATGTTTCAATAGGTCATGTCCATATTTAGTACATATAAATATTTATATCTTCATGGGTTTCCTTTGAATTTAAATTTAATAGTTAAAAGAATAAAAGAGCTTTTCTCAGAAAGATTTTTTGTACTACATGATGGTAATCTTAAAAATAAATTGCCCTAGCACTTTATTACTATTCTTTAATTAAAATAGCCTCATTCAGTATTGGGCTCTAATTCTGCATAGATTACATAATCATCATCTTCATTCACCCTTGAATATTTTCTCTGTCGTGAATCTTCACTTTGTAAAACCATTTCCACTGTCTTGTCTTTCAACAATCTTACTCTTGTATCTGTTTCCAGCTTTTTTTTTATCCTTTATGTATTCCCTTGTTTTCACAACTTGCCTCTTTGTTTTTTGTATCTAAAATTGTTCTTGGTATGCTGCCATTTTCAGTCTGCATAACTTTGACTATTTACACTAATCTCAGCTTGTGCAATACTTTGTCTGAAGATCATACTTCAGTTTTCTCTTTTGATGCCTTATATTTTGTTGTATTTGAGTTACTCGAAAGCATCATTTTCCAAAATAATAGTTGTATCACATCCAGAAATTTTTAGTTTTCTCAGTATGTGTAATGGGTAAGGGAAACTAAGTAGGATTTGAGGTTTTCACGGTGATTAGTCTAAAGATGGCTGTCTTCTGGGTTGTTGCACTGTGTGGTCTGGTAGAAGTTTACCGACATTCAGAGGTCCTTGCTGTGATGATGGCATCGCCCTGATGATGGAGGTAGCAGGGACCTCTGAAATGCCAGTAAACTCCTACCAGACTACATGGTTATATGTTTCGGAAATGTTAAATCTATGCAACAGTTTCATTATTGTAATGAATACCTATCTTTTGTTCCAGGTTAATGGAATAAGTGATCCCACAGTCAAGTCAATAGTCAACAAACAGTATAATACACCAGTTGGTATCTACAGTGAAGAAACCATAGCAGAAACTTTGTCAGCTCAAGCTGAAGTTCTTGCTGGAGGAGTATTGGGGTGAGCAACATCTGTGTGTGTTAAAAGTATTTCTCTTCACTGATATATTACTTTTAGAGTAGTTTCTGATCTTCAAAGTTAGACAGCTATACCAATAATACGTCTAAAATTTTGTCTTTTTGCAGAATGTCCTAGGAGGAAGTGGCCAAGTTTTGGAAGGTGAATTTAATTTAAACTGTTCTATCACCATGTGTTGCATACATGAAACTTACCATATATTCAAGTTAAATAATAATGTTAATTGGTAGAAGAGTTATTGCACAGCTGTTGTTAAATCTTCATTTAGTGTTCAGACTAGTAATTTGTTATATTATGAATACATTAACCCTTTAAAGCTGAGCAGTAAACTATATGTACCATCTACTTTAACAGTCGTTAAGTCTTTAATTTTGTGTTTATTGGTTTTCTATGATTTTCAGTGTAGAATCAATTGATTTTAGTAACAGAGAAGTTTTGTTTATGGTACAGGCTCAATTCTTTAGTGTGAGATGTGTTGATTATATTCTAGGTTTTGGTGCCTTGCAGATTGTCAGTGGTTGTTAACGTTTTTGAGAAACATACTGTCTCCATCTTCAGAGCTGAAGTGGTGATGCTTCACAAAATACAAGTTACTATACCTGATGTGCCTAAACCATTCACTAAAACTTTTAATTGTTCTTATAATCACTTGTGATATGACAATCTCAGTAACATGAATACCATCAGTAAGATCAGAATTCTCTTAGTGCCATGGATGCATTAGCGCTTGCATAAATTTAATTATCCACAACTCCATAATAATGGTCTTAACAGCTCATTCAACAAATTATTATTATATTGTAGTCTTTTGTGTTTTGCTATGTAGCCTTCCGGTTTTACCTCAGTGTTTCAGAGGAATATCTACACGATTGAAGTCATTTGATTAAATACTTCCCAAATTTTGACCATTTCCTCGCAGGACATTCATTATGTTATAAAATGCTGCATCAAGATATTACAGATATCTACAAACTGAAAAATATTTATATTGCCATCTGAAATCACAGAACTATGTTTTGATGATGAGTCAGGGTAGCTTAGTTAGTGTAGGGTCTGACTATGGACTAGATGCCTGGGATTTGATCCCCAACAGGGTAAAGGATTTATCGTCTATCCTCAGCGTTTACACTGACTGTGGGGTCCACCCAGCCTCATATCCAGTGGGCACCAGGGGTCCTTTGCATGGGGCTGGGGCATGGTTCTGACCATTAACCCCATCTAGTGTCAAGGTCAATAATGAGTAGTAGCTATACATACTTTATTCCCAAGTGCCACCACAGAATATAGCGAGAGAGATTTATTTTTATATGTTATTTTGTATTCAGTTCTGTTGTAAATTTGATGTGGTTAAATACTTATACAAACAGCTAAAGTTGTACAAGTTATAATACTTTAATTTTTCATTAAACATTCTGTGAGCATAAGTGGTTGTAAAACCAGAACTATACAAATTATGATTGTATAGTTGAATAATATGTGTGAATGAATATAATTTGCATTTTAATTTTAATTATGTTAATTACTGATTATTAGTGTAATGCATTTGTAGAGTGAATTTCAAGAAAAATGAAAGAATCTACAATGCTGCCAATAGTGAAGTACTCAAAATGGTTCAAGAGATTGACAGTGAGCCAAGAGAACTAGAACCAGGTAAGAAAGAAAACACTTTTTTTTGTGCATCGTATGTAACTTGTAAGAGATGTGGATGGCTAAGACATCACAAAATTCCAGTTTTATCATTCTGAATTATTGTTATTATTAGTTGTGAAAAGCCAGTGTCTTATGTAGTCCAGTTACTGCATATCTTTATTCTCTGCTAACGGAGTAGCTTCAGATTGACATAAATATTTGTTAAATGTATTGTAGTTCAGTTGGGCGACAAGAAAAATGTTTCTTGATATTTCATAGTAGTGATTTGATGATAATGAATAGCTGATCATTAAGCATAATAATTCCTGCTTTACTGTTTGTGGCATCCAATTATAATGACTTTACAGGTAGTATGTAGTGAAGATAATCAATTGGATTCCATTTCTTGGAAAGGATGCAGTGATTTTTATATGCCAGTTTTTTTCTCTACAAATAGTCAACTGAAACTTACAATCAAGTGTTTAGCATGCTTCATATTTAGGAGGTCCTAGGTTATCTTGGCCCAGAGACTGACAAGCCAGAATTTGTGGTTTTATTCAGTCCCTTCAGGAAAATGTCAGGATGGTATCTTAATCTGGGCCGTGACCACTGTTTTTTTAAATCATTTTGAATTTATCATTCGTTAATAATACTGTCATTCAACATTATATAGTGTGAGCTGCAGAGATAAATGTTAAATAAACTACAAATAAGTTAAATATATCGATGTATGTAAGTATGAATTCAAATTTCTAGCGGTTGTTATGATTTGTAAGTAGGATACTTACAGCAAAGCATTTTAATAATGATGTCATTCAAATTCTTTTGTTTTAGATAAATGTATACCTTTTTATGTCTTTTATATTTGTTTGTCTGTTATGGAAATTGGAGTTACATTTTTATTTTCATTAGGTATGATCAAATTAAATTACCTTTGTCTGTCCAATTCTAGCTTTATAAACAAAGGCTTTTCACAAATCTCTGAATCTGCCTTGTCGATTGTGATAATGATATGAGAAGATATTCCTATACACCAGTTCCTGTTTCTGTTTACAAAAAGCTAACTTCAAATTGTTTCATAATTCGGAGTTCTAATCGAAAGACTAGCACAAAATGTAAATATTACTTTATTTTTGGTTGCCATCACTTTTATATCAGTTATCAGCTCTTAGCTTTAATGCTGTTTGAAATGTTTGCCAAATGAGAATAGAGAACATTTATGCATTAAGTTCATGTTAGTCATGGCGAGGCATCTAAATGAAAATATTTGTTGATGAAAAAGTTTCAGTTATATTCTTTAAGATTACTATCATTCATCACTTATTGTGACAGATATGAGAATGAAAATATGTTTTATTTATGGTATATATTTCTGCATTTGAAAGTCTAGGTATTATAAATCCTGTGCTTATTGAAACTGCCATAGATTATCATTTGTCATTATTCCATATGTCTGTACCACAAGGCATTTTATTGGTAAGTGCTTTGATTGTCCTTGCGTCTACCTCATTTTGTATTGTTATTGTTACAGTTGAATGTATCTTAAAAGGTTGAAATTTTAATATGACTTGTACATCTGTTCTCTTAGTCTGGAAATGTTCACACACATCATGCAACTCTTCTTTATTATCTATTATCAGTACGTGTTACTGTCGTAAAGAATTCACTTGAATTAACTTACATATTTTTAATGTGTCATTGTTCAAAAGTATGGTGTGGGAAATGATGATATCTCACAAAAGACAAATTTTGAATGAGGAGCAGGCTTAAAGTCACTGTCAGTTTTTAGTTGACTTTATCTTTGCCGCTGCTGACAAATAACCATCTCTTTACAGTTTTCAGGTATTTATAATAAAGTTGAATTACCATGTCTAACGACTAATCAGTGAGGCTGTCCAAGACCACTTAAAGTTTTCAAGGCATTTCTTTGGTTGTCCTGCGAAAGAAGCAGGAAAATTAAAGGCTAGAATTTACTCTTTGAAATTTTGGTAGTTTGGATATACTTTACCGGCATGTAACACTTTTTGTACTTTTTGAACTGTCGCATATTTTCACTAGCCAGCTTTTGGTGTTATTAGGGTTCAAAATTTGTAGAGTCTGAAGTAATAAAATACAGTAACAAAATATTCTTCCATCAGTTAGCTAGTGTTTTATTTAGATCCCCTTAATAAACACTTCACTGGATTAAGCAGTATGCAGATTTATGAGGCATAGGCTAGTGTATTTGTGTTTAAAAATGTACCAAAAATGAATAACTTCCTTATATGTTTTTGGTGTAATTGATGGCTGAGGCATGCGCCAGTCACATGTACTGTGACTTTGAAGGAAGTAAATGCAGATTGTTTTGTTAAATATATTTGCATACAAAGAATCAATTATGAATTGACAACAACTACACTATATGGAAATATTAGTTTGTGCATTTTCCTGCGTAAATCCATGCCTTTCTTCTTCATCATTAAACAAGGTTACAACAATCTTAAAACTTTGCATACCGTGTAGTTTATTAGAATATAAAATAAGTAAACAAACAACTATTAACACTATAAAAAAAGACACTACTGCCATACGCGTTTTAACCTCAAGAGGTCATCATCAGGGAAATTAATTAATTTAATCAAATGGTTTAAACTGGATTTAGAAAATAATTAATGAATAAGGTATTTAACAAAAAGTATTTCAAGTGATACTGCACTAGATGTTGTTATTCACAGGAGTTGAACTCTGCACTTAGCTATTGATCCGATGGTCCAGTGGCCGTAGCTGGTCTGCGGCAAGCTGTGGTTGCGTCGTCCATACCTGTGAACCTACGATTCTGGAGTTTACAGGTACGGGCGACGCAACCACAGCTCGCCGCAGACCAAATGAATAAGGTATTTAACAAAAAGTATTTCAAGTGATACTGCACTAGATGTTGTTATTCACAGGAGTTGAACTCTGCACTTAGCTATTGATCCGATGGTCCAGTGGCCGTAGCTGGTCTGCGGCAAGCTGTGGTTGCGTCGTCCATACCTGTGAACCTACGATTCTGGAGTTTACAGGTACGGGCGACGCAACCACAGCTCGCCGCAGACCAGCTACGGCCATCGGATCAATAGCTAAGTGCAGAGTTCAACTCCTGTGAATAACAACATCTAGTGCAGTATTGCTTGAAATACTTTTTGTTAAATACCCTATTCATTATTTATTTTTTAAATCCAGTTTAAACCATTTGATTAAATTAATTAATTTCCCGGATGATGACCTCTTGCGGTTGAAACGCGTATGGCAATAGTGTCTTTTTTTTATAGTGTTAATAGTTGTTTGTTTCCTTATTTTATAAGGTTACAACACTTTGCAAAGAACAAATGAAAACTTGTGACAATGCATTTCAGCTGCTGATGCTTCTGTCATGTGGCTCTTGAATGAGCTGAAGGTCATCAGCAGACCTTTGTGCTGATAGTTTACAAAAAGCAGGACATAAACTTGGCCTCTGATTCTAATGAAAAACAATAGTAATTTTTGTTCCTTAACTACATTTTAATTTCGAAGAGGTACTTTGCACTGTTTCCCATCTTGTTTCATCATGACTGATTTGATGCATTACTGAGATGTGGTCCTCAGCGGAAAATAAATAATACTATAGAAGCAGGAACTATACATTAAATGTTGAGATTATTATAACAACATAGAGTGTCAATGAAAAGAAAACTTTATATCTGTAGAGTACCTATATAATTTTAATGAATAATGACAAAAATTAAACTTAATAAGTTGTTGGGCTTCACAGCCCCACCTGAAGGGTACCATACATTTCTCGTGATGCCAAGAGCACATCGAAGGAACCCAGCTAGTCTTACAGAATCACCAGTTCGTAGTCCTGTGTCTCCATCTGTTGGTCTCTTATGCCTGAAGTTCCTCTTTTCTGAGGATGAGGAACATAATGGCTATTGCTTCAGTTGGTCTGTGGAAATGTTTTTAGTTTCTCAATTTGTTTTCTCCCCAGGCATGTTTCTAGCATTATCCCCCACTTGTAGCAGACATGAATACCAAATGAGGCTGCTTTCATGTACCATGTCACCTTACTTTATGATTTTTGGAATTATTTTTGGAGCTGAATATGATGTCATTATTTATTGCATGTTGAGTTTTTCATTTTGTAAATGTAGGTTCAACACACTTCATAATTTTTTCCATAAATTCAAATCGGCTGGCCTTTTTACGGATACAGAGAAAATTCATTGAGTGTCATAACTTGCTCATGTGGGCAGTTTGATGTTCCTGTATTTTATACAGTGTGGGTAGTATAATATGTAACCTTTGCCTCTTAATTTCATTGCTCCTGACACCACCAGGTAATCAGTTTAAATGCTCCTTAAGTAATCATGTTTCAGCGTGTTTGAATGATATAGAACATTTCAATTTAGTATGTTTTGCTTGATTTGGTGCAGATAAGAGTCAAACTTACCAAACTATAAAGAACTTTTGTATTAAAAAATGGTTTATCTGTTCGTGGTTTTAAGACTGTTTTTTGAAATAAATAATTTATATAGTAATAGGGTATAAACTCACTGTTTGTCAGTTACAAATAACTATGTCACTTGTAGAAGGAATTTTAGGTTGTCTTTTGAGGATTAATTTCTTATCTATATTTCTCTGTTTCAATTTATACTCATAAATAGGCCCATATGGAATACTTGCTTGTGAATAAAAATCTTCTGTGTTATGAAGAAGGTTAATCAAATGTAATAGGTATTTTATTTATATATTTTAAAGGCCCAACAAACCAGTATTTTACTTCAACTATGTAGGTAACAATTACAGCCAGAATACAAAACTATATTATATTTTAAAGAAGGTGAAATTTGGATTACAGGACATGATGCTTAGGGTTTTACAGTATAAATACATGGTTGTGCCCTTACAACTTAAAGAAAATTATCCACTTCTTATGTGTATCTGTTATCTCACTTCACTGATTTCTCTTTATTCTGTTGTGTCCCTCTTAAGGTCTGATGAGGCTGCATGCCCCTTCCAGTGCAGTGAATGTTTATTGTGATGGTTGTTTCCACAGTAAAACTGTAACACATTTTGAAAGTGATAATGCCCGTATTGGCCTTGCTATGATGGTCATTCATAAAGAAATGTATTGTTTGCATGATGAGTGATGAACAATTTCTATTGTGTGAATAGATGAATGAGTTAAACTGTGGTTTTGTGTGAAGGACCTTCCCTATCATTAGTTTGAGTTTGAAGTCATGGTATTATAATATTTTACCTTCCCATTTTATCTTCTTCAGACATTTTTGATGGTTTTAACTTTAAAGGCTAGCTATATTATTAAATTCATCTAAGTCTTCTGTCCAAAATTTATAATTTATGAATGGTACAGTGTATTTTTCATTAGTCATCATGCAGTTGACTGAAGAAAAATACATTGTAGAACTAAATGTTGGAAAAAAATTAATTATTGGTCTGTGTTGTTTTTGTATGAATAGATAATTATTTGTTACAAAGACATTTTAAGGTAATGTGATGAGTTGTAGTCTGCTCACAAGAATAGGCATGTATGAATGTGTTTACTTTGTTCCACAGATGTAGTCTACATTGCACAGTGATAATTACAATCCTTAGGCAGGATTCTCACTGAAACACCTAGCAACAAATAACAGATGATTAGTGATAAGTGATATGCAATTTCTTATTTCCTGTATATTCATACAATAACAATCAGATTTCTATTTTGTGTCAGTGCATGGTGATCATTGAATACTGCATATTCTATAATTTGCACAAACTTAATATTTATTTTTTTATATATGTTTGTCTTTTAAAGGTTTTAACTAATTGACATTGCAACTTAGAGGATATTACAAATATTTATTTCTTTGACCTGATGATGGAAATATAATTTCCGAAACATGTCGTCTTAAGTGAAGACCATTAAGTAACATAAACTAATTGCATCAGACTGTGTTATATTCGAATAGTTTTTACATTTGTGAAGTGCAACATGACACAACATTACTATCATATTAATATTTCATTGTTCTTCATTAGTTATAATCACTGTCTGCTATGATGTGCTACTCGCAAGATGTTTCAGTGGATGATGAATAAGCTACTGTGAACACTATGAATATACTGCCCACCCACAATGAGGTGTGATATCTATTACATGGTGATATAGTAAAAATGTTGCTTTTTACACTTATTTTCATTGTGTCACTAAGCAATGATTTTAAAAACAATATTCCTACCATTCTTGTGTGAACTGTTTGCAGTGAAATGCACATTATTCCTATGATCAAATTCAGTTACCTATCATTCATTGCTTGACGTGGGTTGCTTCAGTGAGAATCGTGCCTTAAAGTCATACTGACTTGTGATATAAATTACTGCAACAACATTCTCTGTGTTGTACGTAAATTTTAAGAGGAGAAAGGTAACGTCATAAGACTGAATGTTGGATGACCTAAGTCAATTGTATGAACGGAGAAGTTGGTTTTAATCTTTTCCTGTATGACTCCATCTAGAACCTTCAGTAGGTGGCTCAGTAGCATCTCCTCCAGCGACTGGGTTGCGACATGTTTCCACACCTGAGACCAAGCCCACTCCTACAACTCCCCACGACGACCCCTTGAAGGTTCTGCCCCCTGGACAGAACATTTGTGCTGACTGTGAACGTTTGATTGTGTAAGTAAATTAATGTTCTATGTGTTCTACACAGGAATTAACATTAACCATACTTTCCTTTTCAGAATGACTGTCCATTAAGTAACTCAGCTCTTAGTAAAAGTATTTCTCTAGTTATTATATTTGACTCTCCAAAACATTTGTTTGAATAAAATTTCAGTCCACTGACATTATACGCATACATCCATCCTGTGTTAATAACGTTAATATATGCGATTTGTAATCAAAATTCTTCCTAATCAAAAAAGAATTTACCAAAAAAATGTTTTGGAACATGAGAAAGGGTTATTTTTTAATCTCCTGAGTATAAAATATGTGATTAACCTTTATCATACTGGAATAGTGGATTTAAGTCTCCATGCTACTGGGCTGTTGGTGATTTATGGTTGATCAGTTTGCTAGTGTGATGTATATCCAGCTGGGCTGTGCATAAGCTACATTCCACGGACGATAAAGGTTAAATATTCCATTATGAACAGTGAATAATAAATATTTCCAGAATCTAATCATACAATATGATTTAATGCTTTGCATTTCTCTTTCGTATGCCATTGTTCTTCAGGTACCTTACAGTACTAGGGGCAGACATTAATTAATGGACAGTAATTTCACACATATAAAGAAGATGCTGAAACACGTGTTCCTGCAGTTGGCTTGACTCTCATCTTTAATTTTGTCTTTTATTTATGTTAATTTTCATGGAATTTATAATCTGGTATAACTGCATCTTTGGTTCTCTGATTTTCTCTCCCTTCCAACATCTTCAATTGCATAACTATCTGGGCTTTTTGTAATCAAAACAAAACAGCTCTGTCATCCAGTACATCATATTTCGCCACCTCCAGTCATGCTGTGGGTGGGCGAGCCACCTCCCCCTGCCCCTTAACACCTCTGGCTCAACAGTTGCCAGCACCATCTGCTCCTAGCAGCTATCTACCAACAAATGTCCCATTGGACATACCCAAATGTTCGGATTGCGAACGAGCGATTGTGTAAGTAACTTGGTGTATTCATTTACTCGTGGAGGATTGGTGCATCTTGTTCTTCTAGCATGTGCCAGCAATTTTAGCTTGAATCTGTCAGTTTTTGAAATTCTCTCAAGTATGACCTTCTGACTACAACAGATGACACTTATTTGTTGATTCTGCTATAAGTATGTTAGGGTGTATTTGAGCAGAAACAGTGAGTAAGCTTATAATTCTGACAATACATTCAATATGAATGAAGGAAAATTTGATAGAATTTTTAAAAGTGACACACACTCTCCATATTTTGTTTTCAACATTGAAGTCCTTATCCACTTTCTTTCTCACAAGCATGATACAATTTTAATTGTGCAAATTATCATCATTTTTCAACACTGGTAACCTCCTTATGAACTCATTTTATGCTGTTCAACATGCAGTATTTTAATAATAATATTATGGAGTCTGTATTTTATATTTCATTAAAAGGCAACTAACTCTTCTTAGGCAGAAATATTGCATATCAGAAATTGTATCTCTTAAATTTTAGTATTCCCTCAAGCTGTGTTTTGTTACAATTGTTACTGTTTTGAGGTCACCTGGTTTATTGTTTTATACTGAAATATATTAGACTAGTGGCATTATATGTATCTGTTTTGCTACATCTGCTGTTTGTTATTGGCCTATGAATGATTCACTTGTGTTTTCAGAAGATCTTCACAGTTATATGCATTTTTATCTTTTAGCATTATGTGTGTACAGGAATGTCTTCACTTCATGTCTGTTCTTTCAATATGAATTCTGACATCAAATTATCACTTTTAAGCTTTGTTTCTACGTCACTACATCAAACTCATTGTGTGTGTGCAGAAAAGTGTTCTTCAGATTCCTTCACTGTAATCAGTATGTAATCACATTCGTCTTCAGTGTTCTGTATCTTGTCTTGTCTTAGAAGGTTCACTTTGTTGTAGCTGTCGCATTTCTTGCAGTTTCAATAGAGCTGTAGTTCTTACCACAAAGCATGGCCCCTTGCATTTCAGAATACATTTATTTCAGACAGTCTCTTGAAGTTTGTATATTTACTGTTCTGAGTTCTTAGCTTCTGTTAGCACATTTTTGCATGTGTACACTGAAAACTTTTTTTGGGTGTTTTTGATTTTTTTACCTTCATATTTGAATATGAAAGGTACTTTTAATTTTTTTAGTGTTGTTTTGTAAAGTTAAGACACCTGATGGTAGATCCCTCTATATTTTTATAATTATGTTCAGTGATAACTTTTAAAGGTAGTTTTTTTAAAAAATGTGTATTTTTATATCAGAATTTGAAATTTAAAATTACGTTTTTAAGCTCCATAATTATTGTATTACTATTACTGGTATGTTACATTTCTTCTTTTCTTGTTTGCTGATAGAACTCTGAAAAATGGATTTGAATTTCCACATTACCAGTTTTCTGTATTGAGTGCTTATAACTGAAGTTTGTATTCCCTATCACTTTAAAATTAAATGACTGTCATTACTAAGGTGCTGGTTTTTATAGTAATACTGATATTGTGATATTGAATATTTCAGTAGTGTGTTTCTGAAAATAAAAATATTATATGAGTGTCATTCATAAATGATTGGGATTTGCCTAGAATACAGGCTGTTAGATGACAGTTGCATAATCACACTCCACATACTCCCTACTGAGGCAAATTCCCCATTGTCATTGGATGCTGCAAACAGCTTTTTGGAATAGTACATGCCAACTTGCAGACACTGATATTTATTTGCCATACTGGTAACAAGAGATGAGTTATAGTTTCATTACCATGCAGTGTAAGCATGACAGAGGTCCTTGGCTCAAGGATTTTTGGACAGCTTCCTCTACTGGCAAGCAGATGGCCACAGTCTTCTTGGACATGGAGGGCTTCCTGATGGTAGAGTGGTTTCCCTGTGGAAAAATGGTAAAAGCATTGTTTACTGTGGCATTCTCGCAAGTCTTTGTACAAAAAATCCAAAATGTAGTATCCTGTGTGTGGCTTCCGTTTCTTTAACATTGATGACTAGCAGAGCGATGCCAACCACAATGTCTGTGAGTTGATGTGTACTATCCTGAAAGACTGTTACATCCATCAGGAAATTACCAGAAAGATGGCATCAGTGCATTGTTCTCAGTGAGGAGCATGTGCAGTATGCTAAAATGTGATTGTATGGCTGTCATTGTCTCTCACCCTGCATTCCAGGTGATTCCCAATCATTTATGAATTACCTGCTCTTATATTTCTCATTGTTATTGAAATTTAAGAATGAAATGTGTACACAATAAGGATTTTGTGTGATTGTGTTTACATGTGAATTACATAGTGTCTGACTTGATGGAAATATGTTTGTGGATTTACCATACATCACAAATTATTTGAAGTTGCATAAAATTTGATCTTTTAAAGTTCTGCAAGCTTTATTCAAAATTTGGTAATTAAGTATTCCTAAGCTTTTATTCAGGTGTTCACATTTCTTATTTGGTGGATGATCAGACATAAACATTAAATTTAGAGAAATAATTGTAAAACACAATGTAATGTGCTGCGTGTTATACCAACAATAGAATGGTGTTCGCAGTATTACAGACTATTTTCAGTCCCTACCGATGTCCACCATGCAATTGAAAGGCATTTTACTTTCAACTCTAGTAAAATGAGTATGTTGGTGTCCAGCGTTTTAAGAGTATTATCATATTTCAGTGATTTCGCTGGTTAAAGGCTAGAAAGACATGGTTCAGAAACTATTAAAAGGCAAATCAGGAAGGTGTTCATGAAGCCAGCATGTTAGTTACCCCTCATTCCTGCAATTTTATTCACTGTTTGAATACGTCCTTCCTGTGTGATCTGCAGTGGTGTGTTTGTACGTATCAAGGACAAGAACCTGCATGTAGAATGTTTCAAATGCGCAACGTGTGGAACATCTCTCAAGAATGTCGGGTACTACAATATAAACAACAAATTGTATTGTGACATCCATGCCAAGCTGGTGGCTAGACAAAATCCCCCAGCACCAAACCTAGAACCAGTCACCGTTCCACCGTAAGTACATCGTGAAGTGGTTAGCCTTTTCATTTCTACTAATTCTATAATTAATGCACAGGATTGGACAATAAATTGTTACAATTTTTACATAAAATATTTTTAGGTAATTTATGTACAGTGTTACAGCTGTGCACCTACTGTCCTCTATCAGACAGCGTGTTACACCCGCAGTGTACATAACAAGTTCTGCCTGAAAGAGACAAGCCGTAACAATTTATCACCAAACTTTGTATATTAATTCTGAATGCTTTGTAAGTATGGTAGCACGTAGTTGTGAAGTATGTTTAATGGGTCACTAAATATCACTATTAGCTGTTACAAAGTTTTAACAACAATTTTATATGCGAATGTAATACAAAGTTAGTTTGTGGCCCTAATCTGTTCAGCTGTGAATTTTTTAGACTTTATTTGCAGAAACTAAAATAAAATTAACATACAGTGTTGAGGTCTCATCTCAGTACATATTTAATTTACAAATTTAGTGAATTGATTTTTATAAAATTTAGTTTAGGGGTATATATTGTAAGTGAAATTAATTTTGCTTATTATATATCTAATAGAACCTATATATTTTATAAAACTTGAATTGTATTTATCAAAATCTGAAACATTTGTTGATATGGTGAATGCCTACAGATTTTTTTTTTGACAGTATGATCAGTGCTTGTATACTGATTAGTTTCTCAATAACAGACATCTGTCCGCAATACATGGACACTAGGCAATGAGCTATGCAAAGAATGCATTTGGGAAATATTTGTACACCAGTGAATTACATTTACAGTATCTTTTTTAAGCATTTTTATATCCTGTACAGTTTCAAAACTAATTTCACAGAAGATTTCTGTCTTCTGGGTTGTTGCGCCGTGTAGTCTGGTCGATGTTAACCAACGTTTCAGAGGTATATTCATCGCCTTGATGACGGAGGCAGTATGATCTCTGAAACGTTGGTTAACATCGACCAGACTACATGGCGCAACAACCCAGAAGACAGAAATCTTCATGCTCACTGCTCTGAAAACCTCAAATCTTACATAATATCACAGAACTTTGTAGTATTGTTTTTTATCCATTATTTATACGTCGTGCAATATACTGTTGCAAATTTAGTGAATTTTGCTTGGGTATTCTATCTTAAATTAACTCTTTCTTGTGATTTTTCATTGGATGAAATTTGGAGTATGTACTATATCGAAACAGAACATAAACAAAACATACTATATTTAATAATTAAATATTTGTATTGTATGAAAGAAAGTATTTCTACAGTAGGTTTAAGAATTAAAAACTTATAATGTGTCATAATAGAAGACATAATGTACATCTGTATCTATGAATTCTATAAATATTTTCTGATAAATAATAATCAGTTTAAAATTAAAATGGTGATTGTTAAATGTTTCCTGCTTTACATGTTTTTGTTATACATGGTGATTCACAGGAACCCAACCTCTGTGGATGAGTCATCTGTATATAGTATGTTATTAAACAGAATTTACTGGCCAGCTACTGGGTTCTCACACTGTCACACCATTTCTGACACACATTATCGTAACTTGTTTCGCAAGTTCTGACACACCTGTTATGTTACAGCGGTAGCCGGGTGCCGGCCGGTACTATCTCTGCTGCACTCGCAAAGGTACCAGCTAGCCCAGCATCTAACTTCGCTCCAGCACCAGTTCGAGTTGCTACAGCGCCTACTTACGCTCCAGCAGCAGCACCTGCTCCTGCAAGTCCTGGAAACCTTTCCCCCCAGCCAGGAACTCTTGGCCCTCTGCCCTTCCATGTAAGTACTAATTTAATTTTGATTATCATCAGAGTGAACTAACCAAGTGGCATCAGATGTGTTATGGTACTCTGGATACATCTTCACTGCTGTAGCACAAAAACAAATAAGAGTTTCAGTGAATTCCATCCATATTTTTGTTCCTTATTGTTGTCGTGTAGAATCTTAGTTATAGGCAGGAAAATTTCCCAATTTGAAGTTTGGTTATTGTACTTGTTACTGCAATGTAGCAGTAAGAAATTGTGTGATATTGTAAAAAATTATAATGTTGTTGAGGCTTGAAATTAATACAAATCTGTGCGCGGCATATATGATGGTGCCTTTTCCCAAGTAAATTTTATTAAAACTTTATTAAACATAATAGAATATTCAAATATCATTTTTCAGAAACTCGTTAATGAATTGATGATATATGACAATTAGTATATTGATGAATTTTCAGTATATTTCTTATTGGAGATGTGATTCTAAATTTAAATTTAGGAGTCTAACTGCAAACTATATGAATATTTCTTTTGCTTTATACTTAATGTTGACTTAAAATACATTCTCTTAAAATCTTAATGTGCTCACTAGCAGACATAAAAACAGACTTATGCCACTTCTGTCAAACTATATTCTATTTATTTACAAACTGTTAAATTAATGCTGTCTTATCTTACTGTGTTTTATTATGGGTCATAAACTTTACTAATATGAAGAGGTGGCTTCTGATGTATGCAGCAGGGATGAACAATATTCTATGTTATTGTTCATAAAACACAAGGAGGTTGTGACTTGCAATTTTGTTGGCTGTGACACCATATAGTCCTGTAGGTGGTTGTTGGTGTTTCAGATAAACGTATTGTTTCCAGCTTGAATGTAGGTTCTGTTTTTGGGGAAAGAAGGTGGATGTGATATGTTCCTCCAAAACATTGGTAACCACATGCAAGACTATATATTAGCCCAGAAGACATAATCCAATTATAAAAGCAGTTGGTGGACCTCATGTGATACAAAAGTGCCAGATATTGGTTTGAATGTAATATTCTGTTCCCATCTGTCTGAAAATTATCAAAATCTTCCTGTATAGCAAACAGGTGGGAATGTTCCATGCAGATAATTTTCTGTACTTCCTAACTCAGAAGCCACCTCTGATTGTGTGTGTTTCACATTTACAGTTTATCTGTCTCACCTAAAACCTGTATAATCCTTTACAAATCTGTTTAGCTCTTTGAATATTTTTTGTGTTCATTTGTATTCCATTTTTCTCCCTGTTAAAACTTAATGTTTTTCAGCCGGTTCACCAGCAAAGAATATCAGAAAATAATTTTGTAACAGAGAATAATATGAAAAATATTATTACGGCCCTTCCTGCATTACACATTGATGATTCCGATTCAGAGAAAAATCTTCCTGTACCAGTAACCACTAGACCAAATAAGGTATTGAATTCAGATACAATCTGATATGCCCGCTTTGGTGTTGGAATTCTTCCTTCTTTTTGCATATGTTAGGAAGGGCTACCACAAAGTGTCAAGTGGTTGAGGTCTAACTTTCAGCAATATGAGTCAGTTGACATCGTAATTTTGTGCTGTAATGGAATTAACAATGTTTTTGTTTTTTTTCCTGTTGGAAATTAATGTGGGTTTTCTTAACATTTCTACCACGCATCGTGTAAAGTAAAATTATTGTAATTATTAAAACACTTCTTAAATCTGATTTAGTAATAAAAATACAGTGGTAGTCTTTTCTACTTTCTGTGTAATGGTTTTGGGCGTAAAGATATATCTTGCTTCGAAATATAGTTATATTATGCTAGTTTTTTTTTTTTTTATTGCAAAGAACTATGTTACATGACTTTTAAATTTGTTTCAACATGCACTAATATGTTTTGCCTTTGATATATATGGTGAACAGAAATGTATTTGATGAATCCTAGAAACAGATTGACAATCTTGTCTTTTTACAAAGCATACATAATTATACTTGTCGCCCTTGGTGGACTAGTGGTTATCAAGCTCGCCACTGGACCCAAGGTTTGTGGGTTCAAACCCAGCGGCCAAGGTCGATGGATTTTTAAGGGTGATATAAATCCGTAGCACAACTTCTTTTGGTGGGGAGTAAAGCCAGCGGTCCCATGTCTTAGATTTGTGGCAAGTAAATAAACCTTACAAGCATGAACGAGATGTTTTGTAAGCATAATTCAGCAGCCATTTCTCACCCAAGTCTCTCCTGATTCACTACTATATGGCACTAGCAGTCAAATCAGGATTGAGTAGAAATTGTGCAGAGTCAGTGGGCTGGTCACTCGCACACTTCAAAGGATGTGAAACCTCCGAAAAGGAGGCAGCAAAGACCCACAACTGGGTTATAGAGCCAAGAAACAACAGCAACATAATTATGCTCATGATAAAAATATGAAATTTGTTCTTTACTTTAGAATTGTCCAAAATAAGTACATACAAGATTTGCTACAGCGCATATTCCTACATGATGATGATTCAGCTAATGCATTACCTTCTCATTCAAGGTATTCACATTGTATGTTGTGGTGCAATAATCATGATTTGTTTATATTTGGAAACAAAGCTGCTTGATCCACGATGCTAAGTATTTTACTAGGACTTGTATGGTTTTCCTTAGTTTGTCATGGCAGATATTGGGATAGTACTTTAAATTGGTGACACTTTAGGAAACTTTGCCATATGCTGCATAAAAATCTTCGTCATGGACACATTTAATTTGTACATGACATTGTGAATGCAATATTTTAGAATATAAAAGGAAATGTAATTATTAGACACACAAAAAATTATTTAGGTAGTGAATTTATTCATGGTGTGCAGAGAAAGAAAACAACAATGTAGAAAAGAAATTTACTTTTTTTGGATTTCTTGTATGATTTATGTAAATAGCTAGTGACTGCAGTTAAGAATTTTTACTTGAATTATGTCACAGTTTTTAATTTATACATATTTTATTCCAATTAAAATACATTATCACCTTACCATTCCCATAAGTGTGCTTATTCCCTGGATAATTCAGGTATGAAATATTAATTACACTTCAACAAAAATCAATATGAATATTCCTTTCTAAGACTGAAAAACATTTTTCTTTGATGAAAAGTTTATTGAATAGTGCAATGTTCTGTTGCTTCATTAATTACTATAATGAAATTGTAAATGCATGGGACCTGGAAGAAATTATTTATGTGTTTCCAGTGCAATATAGAAAGGAAAGATTACAAAAATCCTAATAAAAGTGTCTGTCTGGCAGGACTTAGGAAACACTAAGTGTGGTTTGCCTGATGTGAAAGTGTATTTGAAAACAAGTCACTATCTTGATATGGAAGGTATGTCCATATCTGCTTAAGCTCTCTAAAGCTAAATAATTTAACAATAAAGCAAGGGTCTGTATGGATTACTGAGTTTTTGGACTTTGTCTATTATCTGGTATTATAAAAAACACAAAGTTTTAAAAAACTGGGTCTGTTTTATAGGGGCATCTACTGAGTTGTGTCTGTGTGAATCACTGGACATCCAAAGTCAGAAAAACTATATGTGTATAAGCACCTGAACTCAGGTTTTGTCAATGGGAAATAATAGGAAAATTTTACAATGGAAATTGTGAAAATGCTTTGTGAAGATCAGGACTTCAGGCAAAAATGGAAGTGGAAATTAAAATTCATTAAACCAAACCCAAACCAACCCAATCCAGGAGTCCTTGTTCAGAATAAATTCAAAATATTACCTGATATACCACATGCGTCTACTGCTAATGCCATCTGTGGCCCAAGAATTGAGCTCCAAATCAAAGTCATAGAGATACTCAGAAGACTCTAACAAATCATATGGCAGAAATTTCCAGATGGACCTAGCTGAATAGGTGCTACTTTTCCCTATACCTGAGGACAAAACATTGTTTGTTTTCTGGAATGCCAGATGATGATCAAAGTCCAAAATTTCAGTAATTCAGATTGTAACACACCTTCATCAGAACCCTTTAGAATCGAAGGGTCTGTGTATTTGCAGGCTCCGAGGGGTGGCACGACACACGTCAGTGCTCCTCGCCCAGTTCAGGTAGAAGAAATGCAGAATGAGAATTTGCTATGTGTATTCAATGCTTTTACTAACCTGGACTTTATTTATTAAATATGCGATAGTGTGGTTTCTAATATATAACTTGCTTAATAAATTCATTGGTGTTGGTAAAATAAGCCACTGCTTTACAGTCCAGTCTGTTACTGTAGAGGTTTTTTAAGTGTGGTTTGTTTTAGTGTTCACTGTTGTGTAAATGTTGCCTCTGGCCCATTTTGTCATGTCACTGTGAGTATTAATTGAATTAAAAATGTTGAAATTATGGTTATCATTCAGTTATTATTTACATGGGTTACTATTAATCGATTAGTTCACTGTTAAATCTGTGAAGTAAATTGTTACTAACAAAATAATTTGTCATAACAAATATATTAATGAATTTGTAATTTGAAATCTGAATCAGTGAAATATGTCTAGCCTTATTAAGCCAAAAATGCAACATATTACACTTGTTTCTATCATTATTTAATGAGAAATGAAGTTGAGGAATACATCAAAGACAGCCATCTTTCTACTCACAGCCATGTGAACCCCAAATACTACCTGCTGAAGACTTATTGTCACCCAGATTTTTAGGACATGGATTACAGATGCCTAAAAGTTTTATTTGATGGTGCTAGATGGAAACACATTCTATTCTGAAGAAATGCTACCATTAGACAGCCTTTGGGGGAGTGACAAAAATGTTGAAATGACAGAAGTGTGAAAGGACTGTGGGAAAAAGGAGGGAAGAATGTGTAGGGGTACAAATGATAAGAGATAAGAAGAATTGGTATACAGGATTAAGATAAAAAAAATCATTCCCTGTTGAATTCAAATAGGTCTTTTTGACTAGTAGTAAATAAATGCAGTGCAATAAAGGCACTAAATATGTATAATATTGTGAATTAAATTTGGCATTGTAATAATTGGTGATTAATGACTTCATTAACTGGACTGATGAATAATTGCAACCATAATTTTAAAGATTTTATGTGCATTATAGTGCTTTAGTTTATTGAGAAGTAAATGTCATGATTTTCACTCTCTGTAAGTCATAAGAGATGCATAGAAAACAATATGCCAATGCCAGGGAGTGGCAAATGCTCAGGTCTGCTGCCAGACCATTGAAGCTGGAGGAATCTGAAAGACATTTTTCACTATGTAACTCAGGAAGAACAGTAATAACAACCACCACTGAAGCATTGTGGTGAGATTGTTCTGTAGTAGCATTGACTGTGTCAATTCTGACATTTTGTGTATAAAATGGCAAGAAACTTGGAGCTGTAATGAGTGTTCAAATCCAGTAATACTTGGCAGACCATTTTTGTATCATAATATATCTGGTTGAAATGCAAGAAATTTATTCAGTTTTAAATAATCAGAATTCATTTCTTGGTATGGACTTTTTTTTTAAAGCTAAGTCGCAGGCTACGGACTGGATGACCGGGGTTCGATCCCTGACGGGGGCAGAGGATTTTTCCTCTAGCCTCTGTGTCCAGACCGGTTCTGGGGCCCACCCAGCCTCAGCCTCCTATCCAATGGGTACTGTGGTCCTTTCCTGGGGGTAAAACGTGGCTGGGGCATGATGCTCACCACTCACCCCCATCTAGTGCCGAGGTCAAGAATGAGTAGGAGCTATACTACCTCTCCCCCACTTTTAGTATGTTCAGAAATGTTCATCATCATTTGAATCTCTATCCTCCTGTAGGATCTAAACAAATAAAAGTTTCAATTGGAAGAATAACAAACCTGGCAAGGAATAAGTACTTCTGCTAGTCTTTTTAAAACATTGATGCAATGTAATTAGTTTCAGGTTTAAGCATTCTGTGTTGTCACTGGTGTTGAAATGGTAACCCATAACAGCATTTTGACTGGTTTGTGGGATACTTCCCATTATATGAAGCACAGTGTAGTTGGTCTGTAACATTAGTATGTGTTGTCTGTATCCATGCAGCCATGAACAATTTTACATTCCACTCAATAATTGCAAGCTGAAAATTAACATTTTTACTGTAACTGGAAATATTTTTTTTATACAACATTAATACCGACATTTTAGCTTCAGCCATAAAATTGTACATTATGGATATGCTTGCATGCATCATTTAAATTTATGAACACTAATGGGTAATGTCTGTTTAAGTTTTAAGCTCCTAAATATTCTTGTCCTTATGTTTTCATGGCTGGAGTTCAGTGTATAACTTCAGATTTTGGATATGAGCCAATTTGAATGTTGAGAGTTATTCAAAGTTTAGCAGTGTAATGGCCATCTTCAAGGGGAGTATGTAATAGTTTGGCATTTTTGGAAGCCTTGTATAGGGCAGGCAATTGGTGATGAGTTGGATTTGATGGTGCTGATTGGTGAAATGGGAAAAGGGCAAGTAGTCATGGAAAAGAGGTGCCTGTCCAATATAAGGTCGCAAGAAACCCATCCACTACGCAGTTTCCTGAAGATCTGAAACATTGAGTATTTCTCAACTTTCAACATGGCTCATCCCTGAAAGCCAAATTTATGCTCTCATAAATATTTCTTGTCATCTCTGATAGATTTTTGTAAGAAACTAAGAGTAATTATCTGATGTACAATACATTTCAAAACAAGTCAATTACTAAGTCCTTAGAGATTTTTAGTGACAAATTCTTTATAAAATTGGTGCTTTAAATATTGTGATGAGTAATAAAACAAATATTTTAATACTTCTTTATTTATAACAGGCTCCATCAAATTTGGCTGGACCAAAACCATTCAGTACTCCGTCTGCTCCAATAACTAGTCCAGCACGCCCTGCTCCTGGTAAGTTTGCATTAACATTTATGCTATTTAAAAGAATGTGGTGTTTGTCTTAGCATGAATTATATCTGCGTATTCAGATCTTAAACATATACTATGACATTGCATTTAATTTTTTATCCACTTTTATAAAAGTACTGCATAATATTACTTTATATTAGTAATGAATGATTATCAAAGCAGACATACAGCTGTATATCCTTAGCAGTATTAGCAGTATTATTTCTTTATGTTATACGTGGAAAGAATTAAATGTGGGATTTTGTTAAATTACTTATCTAGTAAGATAATTATTTATAGTCATACATTTTATTTTAACTTTATGTATGAACTTGTAACATATTTCCAATCGTTGTTGTGTATAAGCTATGCATATACCATATTTGTTAAATATACTAATGGCTTTATATGCAGTCAGTATATCATAAAGACAGAAACAAATCATGAGGTCAAGATTCTTTTATTAATAATGTAGTCTGATGTGTATTGGGGTGGGAAAGATCAGGGAAAATATGAAGTAGACTGACCAACAGAATATGAACAAAATTACATGAACAAAATATAAACAATAAATATTTTGTGAATATACACAAACAGGTTGAGTTTAACAAAAACAAAATATTTATTATTTGTCTATGTGGATTTGTTCTTGGAAAGCAACTTACCTGTATGGCTTTTTTGTTTTAATACAGTATAAAAAATCTACTCTTCTTGGAGAGCAGTCTAAATAAATTAAAATTATTCTGAAGTTGTAAAACTGGAGTAAATTTGGAATTCCAACACATGTTTCCTCCAGGAATATTTTAGTTTTCAGTTTCTTAGCCCACATGCAGCTTGGAATTATAGTTGCAGAGATCTACAGCACTATTCAACAAGCCTGTCCTTTCATTTGTCAGAATTCTGCTTTTTCTTCTCATTTCCTTAATCTGGTCATTGTCATTGGTAGTATAGAATTCTTTGGTCCTGTGCAGTTCAAATCAGTTTGACCATGTTTGTTGTAATCAGTATGGAAATATGTTTAATCCTTTTTTAAATATACAGAATCCTGGTTTATGCTGAGTCACTATCACATCCTTGGGCTGAAAGTTGTAAGAATTACAGTCCTGTCTATGTGTATTTCACATAGAATTTCCAATATATTGGTGGTTTAATAAATTTGTTTATCCCATCTGGTTACTATACCAGGAGTGGTACTAGCTAGTATGAGGTAAGCATAATCAGTTGATAAATGATGAAAGACTCCTGGATTACAAGCCGCGTCAGGTGGCTGAACGGTGATTTTATTATCAAAATAATACATATTATTGGTTAATGTACATTTAAATTTTATGACTTGACACAATCTTCGACTTACATCCTGTTGAACCACCTCCATTTTCCTCCTCTTGGAATTAATTCCTGTGTTCTACTTGTATATGAGTTGAAAAAATGAGAATTATTTTATAAAATATTAAATAAGAATTATTACAACATTTTCATTTAAATGGCAAAATTAATTTTATAGTCTGACCTCAGAGACATACAGCCATATTACTAAATAAGTAAAAATGTTAAAGTGTAATTAAAATGAGTCAAACAAGGACTCTGTGTGAAGTTCTTGAAGGTATAAAGTAATATAATAATAACAATTTGAACCTATATTTAATGACATGGTAATGGTATAGTGTACATAGAAAGTCCAAGATAGGCAGGAGGGTTTGCAATTGAATGGGTCACATCAGCTATTGGCATATGCTGATGATGTTAATTTATTGGGGGATGATATGAATACAATAAAGAAGAACACAAAGTTTTACTAGAGGCTAGGAGACAGGTGGGACAGAAGTAAATTCAGGAAAAACTAAGTACATGTTAGTATCTCGTCATCAGAAGACAGGCAGGCAAAATTATCTTAGGGTAGCTAATAAGTCCTTTGAAAGGGTTACAAAGTTGAAATATCTGGGAACAACAATAACAAATCAAAATGACACTCATGAGGACGTTAGGAGGAGATTAAATTCTGGAAATGCTTGCTAGTGCTCCTTTTCAGTTCATAGTGTTTTGTCTTCCGGTCTGATTTATAAAAACCTAAAGTTTAAAAATATACAATACAATAATTTTTCCTGTTTTGTATGGGTGCGAAACATGGTATCTAACTCTGAGGGAGGAACATACATTGCAGATGTTTGAGAATAGGGTGTTGAGGAGGATATTCGGGTAGCATAGAGAAAACTGCATAATGGTGAGCTTAAAAATCTGTACTCCTCCCCCAGTATTGTCAGGGGGATTAAGTCGAGAAGAATGAGATGGGCTGGGGATGTAGTTAGTTAGTTAGTTAGTACATAAAAATACAAATAGTATGCGCTTTGAATTATGAAGAAAGAAGTCTAATGAATTATGCTACATATTTTGAATGTCAGAACAGAACACACATCTTTCAGATACCATCAGCATCTGACATCACTGCTTTGCCCATCAGTGAAGCAGCCTTAATGGACTTAGTTAATAAATTGACAAATTTTGATTCCCTCTTGTGTTAATTTAAATTGATAGTTGTTGCTTTATTTGATGTTTATGCACGTTTTAGTTATATTAAGAGAAAATTATGTATAAACTATAGAATAGGTAGTTATATTTAATGTCCTTACACTGACTTTGATTATATCTGTTAGTGGCAGTGTAAGTAAATATCTCAGTTATATTGTACTGTAAGTTTAGTTCATTTTTATTAACAGCATGGATTTATTTGCATTTGTGTTACATCATCTCCCAATCTTTTTATAGTATTAGACTACGGTCAGACAAATGTGAAATCTTATGGCATTGCTTGTTTAATGCAATAAACTTTGTTGCATTTCTTATAAGAGAAGTTTTAGTCCATTACCAGTTCTTATTCTTGTGTGCCCTTAAATTTGAAGATCTTGCATGCCTATATTTTTAAATTTTGCTGAATATACTTATGATTTTAATTATTAATATATTTACATTTTTCTGTTGTATTCAATAGCTTTGCCTTTTATAGAAGTTCAGTCTTAATAGTAACCCTGTTAATCTCAGATGCAGATACTACATGATAAAAACAGCTTGAAATTTACTCTCTTCGATTTCACATTTGTGTAGCTGTTTCCTCTTACTTTTATTCTAACACTCATTATGTCTTACATTGCCATTGACAATTGTAAGTAGTTGTAAGTTTTCAAAGATTTGAATTTAATATTTTGGTATTTAAGATACAATTTTTGAAACAATTTTAACTGTCCAGGTTATTTCTCAACACTGAGGCCAATAACCAACATTAAAGGTAAAACAATGACAATACAATAATTTTGTGTCCTGTTGCACCAGAATTCAATTTCAGTCACAGGTGCACGAAGTTAATTAATATTGTGTTGCTTTACAAATTGGCAGCTCACAAATTGCACCGCCGGTTTTATTGTGGTATAGTTTCTTGAGCATGACTGTAGCTGTCAAGTAATATTGGATTTCATAACTTTTGAGAGCTGATTTTGGAACCCTCATGCACCTTACTGTATTATAAATATTATCATCTTCATATGATCACAACATTATTTTATTGGTGATAATTATGAAGTAAAGTATTGAGTTGTTTTATGAAGTAGGTTTATGATTTTTGTAGATTCTGTTTTCTTTAATATATTTTATAATATAATGAATCTTCTCAGAATGCAAATCACGCATCTGTAAATATCAGATTTTTGATGCTCTTGGAATAATTTTCTTTAGTTATTACTCTATCATTGTTATTTGAGAGTAACAGAATTGTCGCTTTGGGTGCTTTGAGTTAATGTAAATAAATTTCAACCCTAAAACTTCTTGACGATGGTGAAGAGTCAATTGAATAAAATTTTTGGATATTATCCATCGTCTAGTAAATATAGGGATTAGCTCTATCTAGTGGGCCCAACTGTGTAGGAACCTGAAGACGGAGATAGAGTCCCATCTCCGAAACGTCGTTTTACGTTTTATATTTACTAGACGATGGATAATATCCAAAAAATTTATTCAATTGAATTTCAACCCTGCTAAGTGTCAGTAGATTTGAATGAATGGTTTTATAGGCAACTGATTTCAGAATTAGAAAACAACTGGTATAAAGCACAGCATAAACAGTAAATAATTATATTTAGCTGCACTGTCAATAATTCTCTGTCACACTGGCTAACTTTGCCTTTCTTTGAAAGATTTACATTTGTTTCAACAGATTAAGAATTGTAAAATAATTAGAATTTTGTCCTACCATGACCTCTGTCTCACAGACCAAACTGTTAGTAATTATTGATTGATTACAACTGGAAGCTGTACAGAAATGTGAGGTAACAATATTTTCAAGCTGGCGGTATTTGCAGATAGTTTCTGCTCTTCCCCTTTCACAGATGCCTTGATCCAATTTTTCCCAAGTCTGTTTATCTGAAAATACTATTGTAATTGGTAAACAAGAAAGATGGGGTTATTAGGTAAAGGGTGGGAAGCAACAGATTAAAGAATTGTGGTAAGGCATTTACAGAATATACAGATGTAAAATATAATAAAAAAGAAGTTGATATTTTCATTTACACTTTAATGATCTTTGACAAGACAGGAGAATCAACCTTTTAAAAAAACGTGGTATCAACAAGAATTTCAGATACTGTTATTCAGTTGCATGCAACATTTCTACAATATTTCAATATGTATTGATTGCTTCACAAAAAAAAAACAAAAGGAATATGGGTTGGGTGTCAATTTCTGTTTATTTGTTCTGCATACTTGAATGATGGAAATAATTTATTTTATATAGCCTAATAATATTCCATGTGAAGTTAAATGTGACAGGGTTTGCTGTACAAAATGGTGTCCCTACTTAAACCTGGCCTGTGCTTTCTAAGCTGTCATTAGCCTAATAGCAGAGTAGTGCTTTTTAAGCCAAATAAATAAGCAACTGAATTACAATAAACCATAACAAATGGCTTGAATAAAATTGTATTCAGAAAATGAGAAAATTTCCATCCTGATTTGTTGAACAGTAATTATTACTACATTATGCTTGACAAGTGTGTCCATTAGGAATTATTAAAGTTAGGTTTTTAAAAGTAACTTAAGTTTGTATGTAAGATTCTTTGACATGTATTGACGATATGTCATGGCTTATGCATGGTCTAGCTGGCTGTGTGTCGAACCATATACCATTAAACCATTAACCCCAGAGTTAATGTCTGGTCAGCCACTTGATAGATTTGGAGTTGAAATCCTCTGTTCCCATATGTTTAGGTAAAAAATGAAACATATTGAACTGTCTATGGCCAGAGAATTATCTCAAACATTTGATATCTTGGTATGTTGGCCAGCAGTTTGAAATCTGCGCCATTTCTTGGTCGTGTGCAATATTTAAGGGGGTTAAATACCTCAGAGAATAAGATTTATGACAGAAGTATGTTTTAAATGTATTTGTGTACATGAATTTTATTCTGGCCATTCTGTAATTCTCACCTCTGATAATAATGTTGGAACCAAAAAATTGGTCATGAATCTCTCTGGAGCATCCAGTGCAAAGTTTTATATATTTTCTAATCTACAGATACTTAGTGCAAATTTTTAAAATAAGAATATCTATAAGCCTAGTGCCTGTGGTCTAAAATTTTTGCATGTTGTTAGATCTTTGAAAATATGCAAGTCTTGTTAAAGTTGTTGTTTTTGTTTTTTAATTAGAAAAAAACTTGTATGGCAGCATTTTGAATCCTTGAAGTTGTATTTTTATGAAGAAAGTCCTTCAAATTTCGGTCCCACTTGATACATATAAAGTTATGAAAATTTGTTTTAAAACTCAGTTGTACTATTTACAAGAAAAGTTTTCTTTGAATTTTAACCAGAAATACTATTTAAAGCACTTAATTCCTTTATGGATAATAAAGAACTGACTTGCTGATACTTGCATGAGCTACTACAAACACCCAAGTAACAATTTTCCTTCCCTGTATAATTTCAAGTTAATTTTACATAGAACATTTCAAAGTAAATTATCTTATGTTTAGTAAGAAGTACTGAACAGTATTAGTGTAGGATAATGCTTTTAACATAAACATTTGGAATTTAAAACATGAAATGGTAGTCCATTATTTCTGTATCCTGTTACAATTTTTCTTTCTTTTCAGCCTTCAAATCTTTCAATCCTGTACCCAAACCTTTTTCCATTTCTTATTAATTAGGAGGTAGAAAACAAAAGCAGCTCTCAAAAGTTAATAGCTTAATTACTTCCTAATTTGCTTTATTAATTGGGCTAATATTTGTAGTCTGCCTTAATGCATCTTGTGCTGTATTTCGGAGGAAATACATGAATGTGGAAAATGTGACCAAATAGTGAGAGACGTAACTTACAAGCATTCAAGAATTTCTGCATTGGTGTTGGGCAGGTTAGAACATGCATTTGTCATTTAGATCAGCAACCATTGGTGGTTATCAATGATTGAATGATCTACAGTTATATTTTTCTATAGAAATACTTGTAATTAAGTTACTTTTAATTGTAGGATAAAATATAAAACAGAATACTCATTAACACACATGTGGTACTTTAAAAGCATACATTATACAGAAATGCTTCATTGCTTTTTGTTGTAATAAGTAGTGCATTTTAAATGGTGACACTGTAGACTATTTTAGATACTTCAGTTATATCTATGTAGGTTCTAATTTTTTAATTCTTCGCTTTTACTAATTGTGCTATGCTTATCTGCATAATGTAACTTCCTTTTTTCTTTTTCTCTTTTTTATTTTTTTCCATAACTTTCCAATACTTCTTAACAATGAATCCATGCCATTATCTCAATATAATATCATATTGATGTCCAATAATGTGAATTGTATTACTAATATACCTCTTTGTGTCTCAATATTTTAATATGCTGTGATTATTAATCAACTTACCTTTTATAATTGGTTGGGTAACAATTGGAAAACTGTGTCTTTAACAATCTGGGGGCTTGTGCCATTTTGTGGTTCTTTGCATATCTGTGTGTATGAAATGCTTTATGGTCGCTTTGTTTTTAATTTCTTATGTTGGTAACAATTAACTGTAATAATTTCTGCTATTAAACTTAGCTGGTAGTAAATTTGTGTGGCCCCCCTCACGATCAGAAGAACAAGCGTCCTCTCCCACTGCAACTCCTCTGTATATCCCACCAAATCCTCACCAGCAAACCGTTGGTTCATTAACACCAACTAGCAAGCCAGCTCCCAGGCTTCCCACTGCTTCTGTCGAATCTGCATCTGCAGTACAAGACCGTGCAGCTGCCTGTCCATCACCTTTGATATCAGCACTTACAATTGCTCCAGAATGTCCTTACTCCCCATTTCCTGGTTCTGCTG